CCTGGGCCAAAAGCAGTAGCAACGCACACTCGCTGAGCAAAGAAGTTTCAGTCCCCGAAAAAACTTTGCCCGAGTTGCCCTGGTGAGTTAAGTTCTCGGAACCTGGTACCTTCAGAGCAGAACAAAATTACTGGGAAAGTGGAAGTAGAGAGGCGTTGACACCCCAACGGGCCAACACCTGCAGTGAGACTTACCGCCTCTGCCTCGAAAGTCAGGAGATGCTGGAGCGCGCGACCCACGACCAAAGCATGCTCGAGGCCGGAAGCGCTAAGAACCCGAGCTCACGCTGAGGCCCGTACCCGGGAAGCGGAGAAGGTGGACTCCACCCTCCATGTTGTTTTGACGGCGTGCCGTGCTTCTCATGACAAAGCTATACACTTCACACAATGTGACAAACCGGAGGCCCGCGATCAAGACGTTTGTTGTCGCTCCCCTTAGCCTCCATTGCACAGCCATGTAAAGCGTGGTTGACAAGCCTGGTTCCTCCCACCTTTGCCCAGAAGGGCCTCGTTCTGATTCCTACTCTCGAGCAGGATCTTTTAGACATGGCTGCGCCCGAAACCCCTGGTGGCTTTGACCCTCATGGGAGCCAGTAAATAATTCCCTCAAAGAGTCCTGAGAGACGGGCAGGCGCAGTTCGACGAGCTTCTGGTCGATCTGCGCCTGAGCATGCGCGAGCGGCAGGAAGCAGAGGAGTGGAGTGGTTATGATTCTATGATCTAGGAAGTACGATTGGGAGATGCTTCGGGCTTCGCATGTTTAGGGTTTGGGGTGCAGAAGGACTGATGGGGAGGGCATTCGGCCCGGAGTTCAAGCCTCTCCGACTTGGGTGGATTCCGTGGCGTGGCACTCCTGCCTGTTCCGACTAGTACTACACGACCCATGCACCGATTCATTTCGTGTTAAAACAGGTCTCGACAGGCCATTCCCCTATTATCTTCTTTGCCTTTTGGGCCTTGATGAGATCCGAGTGATCTGTTCATTCAAGACCGCCGATACTTTGGGGATACCTTCTTCTTGCTGTCCATGCAGGCGGCTGAGGAAGCCAGCGCCAAGCAGGCGACATTTGTCCCCGTTCCCTGTTGTCGTCGTCCTTGCTGTAAGATTTCTGATATGTTGTAAGGTGTGGGCCAGTGCATACAGTTTCCTCGTAAGCAGGCAGCCGCTGCTGCAGCGGATGTGGTGGAAGCAAAGAACGTTCCACCAGCCGCGGTGGTGAGAGCACGTCCAGCTGAGGCATGTGATCTTCACTCCTGTCACGAGCTCTCGGGAACACGTTGGGACGTTCGGGGTCGAAACCTAAAGAATCGAATCTCAAGTCCAAAGACTCTGAAGCGGTTGTCCACCGGGTTTCCTAAACTGCTACGGCATGTTGTTCCTGGGTTCTATTCTGGACCAGCCGGCTTCGTGCTGACGTCTTTGGGCTTGAACTTCGGATTGAGTGCAGACGTGGCGTGCAATGTTTAGCAGCATGGACTCTTTTCAGATCGATTATTCTGAACGTCTATGTAGCCGTTTACTTAATTTGGAGTATTGGGACAGTGGGAAAATTAGGGGTTGGGCCTCTTGCAGCCCTTCGTCCTACGCCCAGAACTCGGGATGCACGACATCCCACAATTTAGGCCCTCCATCCCCTAAGCATGATACCTTAAAGCCACGTGTGAAAGACAGAGAGAAAGAGAGTGATCCTTCAGTCGGCATCAAAACCTCAGCGCGAAACGGAGATCCTGACTTGAGCCCAGCACGAAATGACACCAGCCTTGCTTGTTTCGGCTGGACTTTGCAGCTGCGTCAATCTGTCATTTGATTCCTCCGCAAGCCTACTTAGTTCTCCGATGGTAGAGGTGGTTCGTATGGGTATGCGGTTCGTGGTCCGGGAAGCACTCAGCAACATGTTCGCACCCTTCCAAGACAAAATGGGGGGCGCCTGGTGGCCGAGGGGCTTGACACGCCTCATATTCCAAGATGAAGCAGCGCGAGCAAGAGATTTGTGGGTTTGGGAGCACAAGAGGGTTTGCGGGTGTAACGAACGGTGATATCCTTCCTTCAACCTAATGGTTTGAGACTGAATCGCCTACCTTGGAAAGCCCAGATCCAAATCGATTCGCAGGCGGACGTCAACCAATGACCGGATCACGTACTGTACCAGCTTGAGCTGGGTTCCGAGCAACATATTCGTATTCCTGACTCCTGCCTCTAGGCCCTTTGTTACCCTGCCAATCCCTAGGCCTTAAACCACAAGCAAAAAAAAACACAAGCATGATAAGCCTGATAAGCTTTAATGTTAATGAAAACGTAGCCAACACACCGCGACCCCGAGCCGGCCACCTGGTTCCCCGTTGCAGACTTGAGACCTTGCGGAGGGGAGAAGAGTGAAGAGAGCTTAGAGAATTTGGGTTGTTGCCCTCGGTATAGGGTTTGGAAAGTAGAGCCAGGCTTTAGACGGCACAGGGCTGCTTAAGGACCTTTTGTAACGACTCCCGCGACTGCCGCAGTTCAAGTGGACGTGCTGCGATTGCGGCCGCGTATTTTGGTCGCCGTCACCCGAATGCTTCTGCCGATGAAAAGAAGTCTGTTTCGGGGTTACGGCGAAGGTGGTCTTAACCCGAACGGTGATGTGCAAGAACAGAGACTTATTTTTCGGTATTGGATTGCGCTGGACACATTGAGTACGGTGTCTATATGTCTCTGTGTACGTCTCTCTGAAATATCTCTCTATGCGTTTTTGTGTATGTGTCTCTCTGCACGTCGCGTCTGCGCGTCCGTATGTATGTCCGTCTATTTATACGTCGGTCTGCCTGCCTATCTGTGCATGACGTGCGTTTCTATATACGTCTAGATATCTATTTGTGCGTCCGTCTATCATCTATTTATTTATCTTCTATCTATTTATCTATCTATCTATCTATCGAAAATCTATCTATTCATATCTATATTTCTTTATTTCTCCCCCGCCCTCTCTATTTTTTCTGAAGTTCTGGTTTTTCTTCTATTTAGTCTCTCTCGAATTTGCTTGATTTTATTGATATTATAATTTCGATATTCGAATTTAATATCGAATTCGTGAAATATTTAATATTTCTATTTGATCGTCGCCCCGATTTCTTTGATTTTATCGATATTTTTATTCAATTATTTGATTTTAATATGCTAGAGTCTCATTTTTTATTTGATAATTTTTTGAAATATACTGGCTCCCTATATTTCTTTAGAAAATATAGACTTATAAAGGGATTTTATAGAGAATAATATTTGAATTCGTCATGCATATATATATAATCTAGATTGAATATTAATAGAATATAGAATCGAATTTATAATAAATATTATTTAAACCTTGATCCGAAAGAATCGAATTTATAATAGGGATTTCTTAATTCTTGAATCATATTATCGAAATTATTTATAATAAGTACTGATTTAGTATCTATAAGCCATATTTTATATTTCGTATCTTATAATCTTTTCTTAAATAATATCGAATAATAAGAATTCATTCTAATTATTTTCAATAAGATTCCGCTATCAGATATAGAAATAAAATCAAAATATTAAAATCTCAATAATCTAATAATTGAGAATCTTCCATAATAAAAATTCATAATAATAAATATAGATTTCCTAAGTCCTTCGCTCTTTTCGAAAATTTTATAATTATCTCATATGAATTTTCATTAATAATTTCAGAATAGTCTCAAATCTCTAGAAATCATTTCGATAAAATTCAAATATATCGGAATCCATTATTAATTAAATATCGAATCAATTCCGATAATATTCTAGATATTAGAGAAATTATCTATATTATAATTCCTAATTTGCATAAATAAGATCTCTCCATATTTCTGATTATCCGCACCTCGTCTAAATCAAGGATCCAATATAATCCCATATATTCAATAATAATATAAGATCAATCCGAACTATCAAAAATATCAATATTTATTGATTGAATTTCGATATCTATATTTTTCTTTCTCTTCTGCATAATATTTGAGAATTCTTTAATTCGAAAATCGGAATATTCTAATCGAGATTCTATCTCTTTTTTTTTTAAATTTTGATTTTTATATTCTATTCTTTATATTCTTGATATACCAATATGAAGATTATATATGAATTAAGAATTAAGAGCAGAATATAGAGATATATCTTCAATATTCTTCTTATTTTATATATTCTATGATCATAAATTTATTTTTTTTCGGTATAAATACGTAGACTTATTATTATCTTGAAAAATTTGATTATAA